GACTGTTGACATTGGCATGCACCTTCTTCACTTGCTTTTGGTAACTCCACACTCTGCTGGCTTTCTACCACCATCACCGGCTGCTCCCTCTCAACTGCCTGACTTCTACCCACTGGAGTAGGATTGCCATATTAAATCAAATAAGAACATAGGGGACCTAATTAAATTTGAATTTCAAATAGTAAATATTTTTAGCATAAATCTGTCGATGTAATATTTGGGATAGACTACACTAAAAATTACTCACTGTTTATGTGAAATTCAAATTTCACTGCATTTTAACTGTTTACCCTACGTTGGGACGCTCCAGGCTTGATCCCTGGACCACTCTTCTCCCTCAACAATCACTCCCTTGACTATCTCATCTGGCTCCATGGCTTCCATACTACTTACTTACATACTGGTGATTCTTATGTTCACGTGTGCAGACCCAACTTACACCCCACACACCAGGCTGTTTTATTAAACTGGCTATGCAAATTTTCCACTTGGAAATCTGAGTTCCCTATACCCAGAAGCCAGTCTGTCAACACACTGTGTCCTAAATCTAAAGACTTTTTCCTTCCAAACACTACTTACCCCCCACACCTTTCACCTAAACTGGCATGGTGATTTTTCTAAGTCTCTTTCTGTTCAACCCGCTATAGTTATCTTTTTAAAAATAGACATGATTGTGCTCCCCCCTTGTTAAAAAATTGTCAATAGCTTCCAAACAAAATTGTAACCAAGTATAGAAACATTTCATAGACTATAAAGTCCAACATGACCTGGTCCTGGTGATCTCAACGATGTTGCTTATTGCCTCCTTTCTTTTAGCTTCACTGCAGTCCAGCCAAAGCCCTCTCTCTGGTGTCCTGGGATGCTCCAAAGAGCATGTTTACCATATGTCCACTGTTATGTGCCCTCTGCCAGGGAAATTCTCATGCTATTTTTGGTCTTTCATTTGGGGCATAAGCCAAATGGTTCTTTGGAGAAGTCTTCCGTGAGTGTTCAAACTAAAATGGCTTTCCCATCATTTTCATTCCTTAACTGTTTATTTTTCCTTCATTGTGTTGTCCATCATTTGACAGAATGCCTACTTTTAGTTTGTTTGCTGCCTATTGCCTCCACTAGGATAAAAGTTCCACAGGACCAGGGACTTTGTTTTGTTCAGTATTATTTGCACATACCATTCACATATTCAGGAAATGCAGGAACAGTAGTTAATTTTTTTTCAATATTGTATATTGAAAATTGCTAAGAGGCCAGATTTTTCAATAAAATTTTCTCAATATACATACAACTGACAACCCTGTAAAGGTGACACATGTGTCCATTAGCTGGAATGTTGTGATCATTTCATAAGATTATTCATCTTAAATGTATACAATTTTTACATGTTGATGATATCTCAATAAAGCTATGTAAAAAATAAATATTGGCTAAATGTACCAATGGATGATCTCTTTTCACCTGCCTTGACTGCTCACCACTCTCAGGATTTAAGCAAGTCTGTAAAGAGTAACCCTTTGTGCTGTTTTTCTTCTCTATGTCCTCAGTATCAGTTTTGGTGGTTCTTACCTAAGCAGCAGCAAGTAGTGAGAGATTTAAGTAGTGGAGACTCTTAGCCTCATTGTTAAGATATTTCCAACAATACTTGCATGTTTCTGATAATAGGAGTAATTATAAGTATATTCAGATACACACACACACACACACACACACACACACACACACACACAATTACTTAGGAGAATGGGAAAGCTTGGGAAATGGCCAAATCACTGCAATGATAATGAGAAGCAGGAATTCCAGTCAGTATTTTAAAGTACTGAGAGCAAGTCAGTCCCATTTTTCTTCCACATACAATGATTTTAATTTTATTTGAAAAGTATAAATTACCCAAATTTTATATAGAAGTTTAGGCTTTTTCACTGTATAATGTTTTCATTATGAATTAAACAAAATATGCATGTTTATTCATGTACACCCATTTTATAAATACTTAATAAATATCTACTGTGTGCCAATCACTATTTTATGTGCTGAGAGTACATCAATTAATGAAATAGGCAGAAGTACTTGTTCCTATAGCATATATGAGACCTTACTTTGTTTTTTAGTTCTTGCTTTTACCTAGTATGATGAATCTTTAATAGATTTTAAATTAAACAACTTGGATGTCTTTCTTGTTCCTAGTTCTTTAGTAGCAGATTTTTAAGCACATTGGTCCATAATCTGGGGCATATATTCAAGACCTGATTCTACTTCTACCATTATGTTTGGCTTGTCTCCCATCGTTTTTTTTTTTTTTAATTGTTGTGGGGATTGAACCTAGGTATATTTTATCACTGAGCTATGTCCCCAGCCTCCTCTCCCCCCCCTTTTTTTGAACAGTTACTGTCTCACTAAGTGGCTATAGTGGGCTTCCAATCTGTCATCTGCATGACTCAGCCTCTCTAGTCTCTGGGATTACAGGTGTGCACCACCATGCCCGGCCAGTCTCCATCTTTGGATCCCGACTTCTCCTTGGTTTTCTGTACTGTTGAGAACATCATTCTTACCCCTCTAGACTTGCCATTTGTATTGGTTCCTTGATCTTTGGATCTCTGCTGAACCCTCTGGGTATGACTCATTTCTTATCTATCTTTATGGTTATCGGGTTTCATGGAATAAGCTCTTCTAAGCTCTTATTCAGAGGAATTAATCCTGGCTATTTGGCTTTTATCTGGCTGCACCTGTGTCTGTTCTCTTATCAGGTAGCAGTTGCAAGGGAGGGAGGAAAAGGGAATGGTAGGGAAAGTGGGCAAGGTCTGGGTCTTTGTGGTGGTATGCGTACTTAATGGGGCTAATGGAGTAGACACTTGACAGGCTAGAAATGAAAGGCAAACAATATTAGAAATTTCTAACAAGTTGATTTTCCACTAGGTCATCAATGATCCTGATGGCTTTAATAAGAATTATCTTTTAAATAACTACTTTCTTTTGCAAAATTCTCAAAATCAAGGCATGGGGATGAGATGATAGACTGAGCAGAGAGCATAAAATTTATGTTTCAAATATGTGAAAAGTAGGTTCTTAAACAGATCTATATTGTAAACTCAATCATAAGCCAGCTCTGAGTGTGGGATCAAGCATATGGAAGAAGTATTCTCAGTATTTCATGGACAATACCACTCTATGATTACAAGAGACCAGGGTAAACAAACACCTGCATTTCACCTAAAAAGCCTTTGTCTCTTGTTTTAGTAAATTCACCAAAAAATTCTTTCCCTCTCTCCCTCCCTTCCTCCCTCCCTCCCTCCCTTCCTTCATTCCTTCCTGGTTGGAAAAGTTTTTATTAACTAGCTTGAATAGAAGTAGTGCCACTAAATAATAAAAGACTTTGCTAGTACCCAAGGAGTCAAATACTCAGAAGAATTCGTATGAAATATTCCTGAGTCCTCTGTATATTTAATCCAGCCAGCCTGTGGTACTAAAGGTATCAGTAAGAAAGACACAGCAAAGAAACAAACAAAAAATTGAAAAATATGCGTGTAAGCAGAAATCTAACTGGCACAAGTTTTGAAAATTTTAAGAACATCTTTAATAAATCACTGAAGTGAACTCCTGTAGTCATGCATCAGGAACCCAGTTACCCATGTTTCAAATGTGTGGTTTGGCTCTTCTCTGGCTTTACGGCAATGTCATCCTAGCTTTACGTCAATATCATCCTAGCTGGTATATATAATAGAATAATTGATTGCTTTTCTTAATACTATAAAATCAAACTGATTTTTGAGGTTAATTATGTACTTATTTTTAAAGTTTTATATTGCTAATTTAGACCTGAAGAAGGGTCAGTTGAGACTGAATTTATCTAGTTTGGCTTTGCAACAAATCACACTGATCACTGTGGACTTGCTATCCATTGCACGTGTGATGTATCATAGCAACGGGCATATAATAATTATTCTTTTTATAAGGAAAGTGTGACATATGGCCTGTTTACTCTAATAATCCGAATAGCCCTAAATGAATGAAATGCTAAATTATTTTCTATACTTAAAAAATAATGAAGGAATGGGTCATGGGTAGCCAGGGGTTTCAATATCTAGGCTAAAATATCTGAACTCATACAACTAAAACACTTCAGATGCCCTTCTAATAGCCCCACTCCTTCTTTCAGAATTGACATCTGTCCTTTTTTTTTTTTCAAATCTGAATTCATAGGTTAGCCTTTGCAAACAAAAGATACTTCCCTTTCAAAAAAAAAATCAAAATACCAGAAAAAGCATGCTTTTTCTAATAATTTAGTATGCTTTATTTATATTCTAGTTCTGTTTATTTCTTGTGAAATTCTGAACACTTTTCTAGCTAATCTTGACTCGTTTTTTCTCACCCTAACTTTGCTAAACAATCCCTCCTATTGCTTGTAGCCAAGGTAACATTATTTCTGTTAACCACCCATTAATGTACAACCAAATCAGAGGCAAGTCAGAAATGGCTGAGCCAAAGCCCCATCACTAAGTGTCAGAGCCAGTGACACCCCACATTTGTGAACAACTGCTGCCTCTTCAATTCCAGGTACAACTACCTTCTTGTTGCCGATTAACATTCAGGCCAAATAGGCAAGGTCTTGCAGATCAGCTAATAGAACTGAGCAGAGGCATCAACTACCCTAATCTCCCATTTGGCTTGAGTCTCCTGCTCAGCACCTGAGCTGTGAAGGTCGGCTCCATAAGGACGACACCACTTGGCTAAAGGAGTTGTTAACACAACTCTGATTATCAAGAGAAGGATAAGTATTTTTTTTAACTGTGTTTTATTCTTGTATTTGAGGGGAAAAAATGATGTTTTCAGTGTTGCTTCTGTTTAGTCTTTCTGATTAAAAAAGGCATTGGTAATGAACAAATGTATCTCTCCACAACATGTTAAGTAATGAGTAGTGTTTAAAGAGATAGTCCCTGCCATCGAAGAAACCTTTATACTTTCATTGGAAAACTGAACACATAGTTTAAGTTGGTAAGTCAGCATGTATTGAACTAATATTTAAATCAAATTCTATAGTAAATTAATGAACTTCTTCAAAGATGTATTTGTTTTTATCTGTTTTAACATTTGATAATGAGATGCTTCTTGCACAGGACCAAAATCAAATTTGTTTATGGTGAACTTCTCTTGCTTTATAACCATACCATGTTTAGATTAAGTTGACTTTTTTTTTTAATATGGAGAAAATGTAGATATGTCAGTAGTTTCCAAACTCCTGCATATGGGAGAGTTGCAATCAGATTCCTAAGCCCTTAAAATGGAGAATCTTGACTTCATTTGATACAGGGTTAGGGATTCAGGCATTCTGAAGCACAACCACATCGACACGTATGCCAGGAGCACAACTTGTATTTTTTTCCTTCCTCCTTCCCTTTCTCCATACTTTCAATAGCCAATTGCCAACCTCTACATGCTGGGATTGCAGACAGGTATAAGATATGATTCCAGCCCTTAAGGAGCACAGAAGAAAGTGATGGAGACTAGACCAGTAAATTGAAATGTAGAGCACAGTGTTGCAAGTGGTACCCAAATGAAAGATAACTAGAGTTCTGGGGATCATTCAGCATGGCATCACTATTAGAGGGAGGGTTCACAAAAGAGTTTTCAGAGGAGGCTATACTTATATCAGGTTTGGAAGCTAAAAGGATTTAGTCAGAGGAATATCACTGAAGGCATGAATATTACAAATTAAATCTAACACATTTAGATAATAACTACTCAGGCCACTTACCTTTCTCCATATGTGACACTGAGCTCATCCAGAACCCCACTGAGTTTAACTTGAAGTTCTTTTAGAATGGTACTAGCTTCAGGATCTAGCTGTAGAAAGATCATAAACAATGTTACTTTGGAGTTTTGAGAATTATGCCTTTGTTTCTATTAGAAGCATTTTCTTCTTATATTCAAACAACACATACATAATTTTCCCTCTTTTTTTGCCTTTGAAATCAAATCAAAAAGTTTAGGAAATTTTGAAGAATAGGGGAGGGAGTTCTTGCATATGAAAAATTTATTGAATTGCATGGCATGCTTACAAATAAGGCTAGA